TATATATATATATATGTATGTGTGCGCGTGTTTTCTTGCTTATATGAAAGCTTTAGGATGTAGTAGGGTTTAGGGCCTGGGGCCTGTGGGACTGAGGGCTTCAGGGTGTGGGGAGCCCGGGTTTCAAAGTTTCGCATTGCCTATACCCTAAACCCTAAACCCAACCCCAAAACCCTCCCTCAACCCTCAACCCAAAACCCAACCCTAGGGAACTTTAAGCCCTCACTCCTTAACCCTAAAGCCTCAACCCATAGTGCTACGTCTCCAGCTCTTACATAGTCTCTCTGATACATTCTTATCCCTTCCTAGTTTTAAATCAAATTCTGAACTAAAGGCCTGCATCCTAGACCCTATAAGCCCTAAATCGTAAACCCTAAAAATCCCCAAATTAAAATGGCAAACCACAACATGGAGGCGAGCGGCCTTTGCTTCAGCCGTCTCCTCTTTGGACAGGGCCTCCTTTCGGAAAAAAATAAAAACTAGCTGTTTAAGGCCTTAAAGCTTCCTTTACGGGATCCTCTATGTGTTCCTTCAAGGGCTCCGGGTTTAGGGTTTAGGGTTTAGGGTTTAGGGGGATTACTGTAAGTGAGGGTTCTGCTACGGGTTCCTACCAGGGTAGCTTTAGAACTTCAGCTGCTCCTTGAAGGGTTCCAGGCACTGTTCCTTCAAGGGGCTCCTTATTTGGAGGTTCATGGGTAGTGTTATTAGTAGGGTTCCTTTGAGGGTTCCTTTAAAGGGTTCTATGGGGTTTAGGGTTTAGGGTCTAGGGCTTGAAGGTTCATGGGTAGTTATAAGTATGGTTATAAGTCCCTTAATATGGGTTATACTTGTAGTTACCTGACTTATAACCCCACTTATAACTACCCATGAACCTCCAAGTATGGGTTCTGCAAGCTGAAGTAGAAGCCTTGAAGTTGGAACATCATGGTCCTGGTGCCCTTAAGGCAAAGGATAAGGTTTAAGGTTTAGGGTTTAGGGTAAGGGGTCCTAGCACAAATCCTCCTAAATCCATGTTCCAACTTTCTGGGCTTCCCTGTACAAGCAGTGCAGGCGATCGAATCCGGAGACCGCAAGACTAGCCTCGAACCCAGGGTTTCGGCGGGTTCAAGGTTGTAAGATTCATGTAGGAGTCGGGGTTCTGGGATGAGGGCGTAGGGTGTGGTTTGTAGGGTGCGGTATGCCACCATGAGTTCATGGAAGTTGCAGGTCCCCCCGGTTCGAACCTTGCCCTGCTAGAGCAGAACACCTACATGCCAAGGACCCCCTGACGACTGCACGTTCCCCGACCCTGAAAATAAACCTACATCCAAAGCCCGAAACCCTACAGTATCCCTAAACCCCGGACTCTAGAAACCTACCTTTTACAAGTCCTTAAAAACCAAAGACTCTTTGGGGGCCCAGGTAACCCTCAAGTCGAAAATGAAAATCCTGATTAAGCCTTACAGTATAAACACTAACCAGAAGCAGTATCAACCCTAAACCCCTCATATCTGATCCCTTACCTCCCACTGGAAACAGTATACGTCGACCATGAACCTCCAAACAACCTAAAAGCAAACCTAAATCCTAAGCTCTTCAACCCTAACCAGACACACTATAAGCAGCTCTAAGCCCTAAACCCTTACCGTATTGCCCCTAAAAAACCTAAACCCTAAACCCCGCGTTCTCCTGCAACTTCACCTCCGAGGCAGCCAGCGCCTCCTTTGTGGTCTCCAGCTCTGCCTCGCCGCTTTGTCCCCCCCCCGAAACCAAGGCTTTATAAGGTTAATTTATGGTAAACCCCAAACTTACAGTGAACCTCAAACCCCAAAGCCCTAAACCCCAAGCTTACATATAGTTCGATATGTTTGACGCTATGGGCTTTATACCGATGCATATATGTGGGGTTGCGTAGCTTGTGTTAGCGGTTTCTAGAAGGTTGCAGAGCTTGCTACTGCTTTATGGCTTTACCCGTTCAACATTGTGACAGTGCTTGACGGTAGCATCCCCAATTGTGGTTTACACATGTTTTGGGGCTGTGGTTTTGGGATGCTTGTGGGCTCATGGAAGTGTCAAGGGTACTCCTAGGCAGCTTTGCAAACGACGCAACGTCAAGCCTTTGTAGCCCCATGTAATTGGGATATACTTGACCCCTCATGCGGAAATTGGGCAGGGTTCACTACATCCAGGGCCAGCGTGACAGGATTGCTAAAGCATCAAACGCAATCGAACAATTACGAGGACCACCGGACCAGCACCAGCATCAGCACCAGCAACAGCACCAGCGCCAGAGCTAGCGCCACCGCCGCCACCGCCGCCGCCGCGACCGTCGCCACCACCGCCCACCACAAGCACCGAGCAGTGTTTGGTAGGTAGAACAGAACATTGCGAGATCGCGCGTGCTGTGGTCCGAAACATGTTTGGCTATTTATGGAGTAACCTTTATCAAGCTCTACACCCTATCCATGTCTGTCTGTCTGTCTCTGTCTCTGTCTCTGTCTCTGTCTCTGTCTCTGGCTCTGTCTCTGTCTCTGTCTCTGTTTGCTTGCCTGCTCTCTCTCTCTCTCTCTGTATTTTTCTCTCTGCATGTCTGTCTACATGTATAACTATATACACATCCATAGATATAGGTACAGGTATAATATATGTGTAGTACATTTTTAATATACATATATATATATATATGTATATATATATATATATATGTGTGTGTGTGTATACACATACACAACTACAAATAAAGATGTCGACATAGCTATGGGTAGAGATAGAGCTGTAGATACAGCTTCGCAGCTGGCCTGAACATATGTCCAGCGCATGTTGAGTATCCCTTAACCCTGAACCCCACAACTCCAACCCTAACATACCTTAAGACCTTAAGAACCCAAAACCCACTTTTTTGTAGGTTCTTATTACAAACCCTAATATGGGATTTATAGAGTCCCTACAAAAAGTAGGTTTTGGGTTCTTGAGGTACTCTGCTTTCTTTCTTCATGGGAATGGTGGGAGAGGGCGAGGGAGAAAAAGACCAGCGCCTTGGTGGCAGCTGCTTCCTCTTGGGCCTTGATGTCCTGGGAGTCCTGAAGTACCCAGTGATAAAGTTTAGGGTTTAGGGTTTAGCTTTAGGGTTTAGGGTTTAGGGTTTAGGGTTCAGAGGATAACGCAAGCCTGAGAATAATGACACCATGGAAGACCAACAACCCTAAACCTAAACCCTGAGCCCCAAGTTCAAGGCTAAGGCTAATTACAGGTTCGGCAGGGATATCTTTCCTGCACCCCTGTTTAAGCACTCTACAAGTGCATTTACACTGGGGTGAGCCGTGCTACAAGCGTCTGTTCATCTTTGTGCGACATGACTACCATGCGGAGCAATCGAGGTCGGTGACAGAAACATCTCCGCGGGTAGCTTCCAAACGCCCTGAAGAAGAAGCCGCTCCGCCTTTCCTGTCAGCTCTCCTGACAGCTTCATATGCGCCATGATTCGGCTTCTCGGTGTGGATCGCACGGGTGGCGGTGGTGGTGGCGGTGGGACCGAGTCGAGGAAGCAGCAGCGAACCCGGGACTCTCAGCCTGGGAATCTCCAAGGGTACCGAGCATGCAGCTTTCCTGAGCCTCCACACTCGGGAAGCTTCGTGGCCGAGATGACCGCATCGGTCGACGGAGTCACGGCACATCCCCCAAACTTTAGTCCCATGTCCGCACATTCAGATCACTGTGCACCGGCATGCGTTCGTGGCAGTCGAGACGATCCTCATGTTGTTGTCGTGTCTTTCCTGCCTCACGACGGGTTCGTCTGTGGAGCCCCGTCTTCCTTGGAGTTTACTTTTCCAACAAGCCCACATCGTGTCGGCACAACGTTCGCCGAGTCGAGACCTGAAATGACACTAGGCTTAATTCGATTCCGTAAGCAAGCTACCCATAAATAAGGCGCCCCTACAAAACCCTACAGTAAAACAAAACCTTCCTGAAGAAAACCTAGTAGAGAGGTATTGGGCTCCATCTCGCGACGGGGCGAAGCAGGATCAGAATCGGATAGAAATCTGAGGGGTACATCACCAGGCTCTTACCATGGCTAGGGCAGGGCAGACTGTTACAAGTAGTACAAATCCTAAAACAACGCTTGCCGGACTCAGAAGGTGAAATGCGGTCGCCATGCGCGCTCTCTGAATCTAACCCTAAACGCTAAACCTGTAGGATCGAAAGCGTGAGACCCGGGAAGGCCAATATAGGGACCTTTAAGAGCAGAGTGGGATTTTGGGGCACGCGATCTTACAGCAAGCCTGATTAAGAACTGTTAAGAGGTACTGTTAATGTATGTTACAGTAGTTACATCTCGACCCGGGCCGTGAAGCCAACAACATTACCCAAACGGATTCTGAAGCGCCCTAAACCCGAAACACACAAACCGTTCTAGACCCTTTTTGTTCACAAGGGACTCGACTGCCGCCCTTACCTTCTAGACCCTTCTAGACCCTAAAGCCAAAATCATCCAAAACTCGTAACCCTAAAGCCAAAATCATCAAAAATCCCTGAACCCTAAACCCAAAATCAACCCAACAGACCTTGAGCTTCGTCTCCAAAGCATCGAGGGACTCTTTGGAAGCTGTCAGCTCGCCCTTCCGGATGAACCCGGGCTTTTGTAGAAGATCTTATACGGTTGAGATAGGGTTCCTTTACGGGTTCTATCATGGTGCGCTAAGGGCTTATAGGGCTTTCTATAGGGGTTGTACTGTCACTTAAGGGTTCTATCATGGGGCCTCAACCCAAACCCTAGAGCCTAAACCCTAAACCCCTAAGCTTGATGGTTTTAAGCTGCTTGCTCCCCCCCCACTGGGCTTCTCGGACACCTGGGCTTCGAAGTAACCAGAAAGAAACAAGGTTTGGGGTTTAGAATTTAGGGTTTTGGGGTTAGGCCCTAAGCCCTAAACTTGAGGGAGAGTCTCAAAACAAGGTGCTAAAGTATGGTGCTCTCCAGAACCAGGTTCGGACTGATTTTCGGTCCCATGGGTCCTAGGGTTTAGGGTCCTTAGGGTTGAAGAGTTCTAGTTCGCAGCGATTAAACCCTAAACCCTATAAACCCTGAACCCGAAACCAAAACCCTGTGTGTTTTGGGTTTCCGGGTTGAGGGTTTCGCCAGTTTCGCGTGCACAGGCTTGAAGGTCTATAAGGTTTAATGTGGGGTCTTAGTAGCTAAAATTAGGACAGGTTTTGGAGGCTCCTTTATAGTATACTGATAATACGGACTTATTTAAGCTTCAATATTAACATGTTGAGGGCTTATGGGGTTCAGGTTCGTTCTACAGGTTGAAGACTCACGTCTGTTCGGAACACAATCCCCAGATTGCTTTGGAAGGCATTGGGGCTGTTCGACAGGTCGAGCACGGGGCGCGGTGGGCAACTCAGAAAAGCGCAGCTTTTCACACCAACCTATACTTATACCCTGCGGGTGTATTCTGGGAGCTCCAATACCTGTGTGCCGTGGACCCCCATAGTTCTTAATTGCCAACCCTGAACCCTAGATCCTTTGCCCCTAAAGGCCCTAAACACTTTTGAAACGGCCCAGAATGGAGGCTAAGTCCTGAAGCCTCGACCGTCACAGCCTCGAAGCGCTTCGAGGTCTCTTGCGCTTCTTGGAGCTGTTCCTGCAGTAGCTTCCCAGCTTCCTTCAACTCCTCCACCTGGGATGATGATTTAGGGCCACGTTTAGGGTTTATAAGGCCTTAGGGGGTTTAGGGTTTATAGGCTCTAGGGCTTAGGCTTTAGGATGATGGATTTTTCCCACCCGCTTTGCTGACTGGGTCACAGAGCAGGTATGCTGGGTTTGGGCTCTAGCTTTCAGCGTACGGAAACTATTCTGATGCCCAGAGCGTGTCTTGAGTGTACTTATAACTTAACATAAGCCCCATGCTCTCAACCCTACCTCTGCTCATAATCTATTTATGTCATCTTTGTACTAAGTGTCTTGACCGGTTTACACTTTCTGCAACATGTTCCTAAAAAATATCCTCATGCACGAAAGAATGTTGGGCAATTTTGTTGCTCGGGGTAGTGGGTGCTGCGGTTTGTGAGTTGCTGTGTGCAGGCAGAGGCTTTGGGTTCGTCTCAGCCGTGCCTCCTGACAGCCTCTGCGCATTGCCCTTCTTCGGTTGAACAGACCCCGCCCCTCTGACGCCCCCCAAATTACAAGCCTAATCTCCCAAAACACAGATAAGACCCCGCATGTTTTTTTCCCTGATGCTGGTGATCTCAGCAACTGTCTCAGCTGAAAACCCGCCCGAACCCTAATAAAATCCTAGGCACGGACCCCCCCAATCCGGATGAACCTTGGCCCAGCCCTCTTCAAAGGTTAGCGCTGTAGTTTTTAAGAGGCATCTATGGCAAAAGCACCCTAACCACACATCGCAAAACCCTAGGTTTCAGGCTAAATTTAGCGCAGATGAACAAAGCACACACTAAATACTATAGGGGCCGTAAAATATAGCTAAGGAGTTCTGTTACGACTAAAGCGCCGTATAGTAGCCCATTGAAGAACCCTTACAGAAACCCTGCTATGATTCTGTAGCTACAACAGCTACAACAATGAATTCCGAGGAATAGTATTCCTTATTATTAATGCCGCTATATCGGATAATCTATATAAGCCCTTCTAAACAACAACTTACTAAACAAACGAATTGCAACCCAAACCTACTTGACAAGACTTTAAGTCATGAGAAACCGAAAACGAACCCTCATCCGAGATAGCTAAATCTGCAACCCTAGGCTACTTACTGAGGGACGCTCTCCCTTAGCCGAGATAGAAACCTTATGGCAACCCTTATTATGAAGCCTTAATCCCCCGATATTATGAAACCCTAAACCCCCGTTTGGTCCCTCATCCGAGATGTCGGCTTCCTTCTCAACAGCCAGCTTGGCTGATTTGGAGGACTCGTTGGCTTCCGTCGCTTCTGCCAACCTTAGATCTCGAAATTCAGGGCATCAGTTGAAGGACGTCGGGAAACGGATTGCCCCGAGTAGAGAGACACAGGTTCCGGGATCCGCAATCTGCGGACACCTCTTAAGCCCCAATGTGGGGCTGGTTTTAGGGAGATTGGTGGCACTTCAAGGCTTTCTAGCGCTTAGGCTTAATTTTATGTGTATGTATGTATATGTATATATATATATATATGGGTGTTATCCGATATTCCTTCTCCCAGAAACAACCCCTCCCGCGCCGCTTTCGCGCAGCTTCCGCGCTCTTTCGCGCACGAGGAAAATGCAACCACCTCAA